TTAAGGAATGATTTTTATTTTTTCAACATTTATGAGGTCATAACAACAATGGGTTTATGGACATATTGAATGAATCGCGTTAGCGATTCATGTAAAATATGTCCAAAAACCCATTGTTGTTATGACCTCATAAATGTTGAAAAAATAAATATCATTCCTTATATTTACATTGACGAATCCTTTCAGTGGATCGATATAACAACGAATAAAACAAATAAACAGGGTTTGTTCCTGCTTATACACGGGTGCAACGCAGTGGCGAGAACAGTGTTTTTTCGCGGGGAAATGTGACACTATCGTGAGAGATCTTAGCAACCGTCAACAACAATAACACAACAAAATGTAGTTCCATATTCAATGTTTATTTGTAGCACAGGACACGTGAATACGTGGATATTTCACAAAGCACAGTTCAATAATATTTTAAGATGTAAGAATTAAGCATCTAGGTCGGTCGTTCCGAGTGAGTAGTTTTTGTAGTGTATTACTACGCAGTGTGATCAGGTTACTATCAGTTCCCGCGTGCTGAGATTCTATGAACACCTGTGTTATGCATTTATGAATGTAATTTTTGTCAATGGGTCTAAGCATACAGAATGTAAATATAATGTAATAACTTACTCTGTAACCTATTTTAAATGTACCAAAGTGTTTACTTTGTAACCTTTTTATAGTGTATCAAATTGCCCTGTTACTCATTTATAATATATCAAATTACCCTGTTACTCATTTATAATGTATCAAATTACCCTGTTACCTATTTACAATGTAATAACTTACTCTGTAACTTATTTATAATGTACCACACAGACGGCAAACATCAATCTTAAAACACCAGTCGGGAAATTCAGTCAAAATGAATCCCGGATTCACAAACAGTTTGAAGGACCAACACGCCAGTTTCCGATCGTAAAATTAGTATAAGAGTACATTTCAGGACAGTGAAAAGAACATCAATGTGTTAACCTTTATTTACTTAACATGTAAACGATATAAGAAAACAAATGCCGAAGATGCCTGTTGATATCCCGGTTGTCTCTGTAACAGACATTCTTACTGTCCGTGGACCTAGTGGATTACGATTCTGTGGGCAGAGACGACATATTCGGAAACATACATTACAACTTCAACAGCCCTGTAGGAACAAGCAGAAATATAACAGCAGAGGCAACGAGAAACAGCAAGTTAAGGTAACGGCAGAAAGGTTGTATCAGTATAATGAAGGTTCTCTCTTACAGCGGTATCTGTGAAACATCAAATTTTGTTCTTTTCATCATTGAAGTGATGTCTCATGCACATGATAAGATAATACAACACCTTGATACCCATTTTTTCACCAGGATATCTAGAACATACCGACCCTCAGCTGTCAACATTTCAGAAGAAATAACATTCAGACTCGATAAATGTACTTTATATTTCTGCCTACAAAAACCAATTCAGTCAAGTATTTCGTCCTAAAGGACTTTAATGGCGGAAAACATATATGAAACTTATAAACCAATAATAGTTGATATTTAAACGTAGATGTCTTTGATCAAGCAAAAGGATGTTATCTGTGTATGTAGTGTAATCCTGTACTTTTCCAAGGCCATACACAATTCATGATTTCGTAGTATTTAATCAATTAAGATGTATTGGAATAATGTTTGTTTATATTTGCGGACAATGAAAACTGTTACGGATTATTGATAATCATTTTTACACATTCAGTAATTTTAAATTTTAGCAAATAAATAATAATAATCAAACAAAAATGTCCGTTAGGCATGAATACCTATGTCTCATGCAAATATTCAAATACTTGATTGACAGACAAATATCTATAAAGAGTATCAACTCATTTGAAGTTTTCTCATAATCGACCTTTGACAAAAGAATTATAAAAATACGTTTGAAAATGAAGTTGTTAAAACGATGACTGGAGGTTACGTTAACCGTCACGTCACACGATGGTGGAATTTTTTTATTAATGGAACAGTGATTCATAGTTGAAATACAGTGTCGGTATCGACATACTACATGAAATGTATTAATCAGATATACTTTAAACTAAAGTGAATTATCTTACCTAAAATTAAATTTCTTTAAACATCATCCTCTTTCAGTGCAATGCGTTTGGATAATGTCCAATAAAGATTTTTCGTTTTCCCTTTGAAGGTAGTCTCGTTCAACCAGACTCTAGTTGTCTGCGCAAGATACGCCGAACAGAGAATTACAAGGTGATCAAGCGTCTGGTTAAACGAGACTACTTTGAAGAAAGTTTCAATACAGACCATTGGTCATCGTTCAACATTTTTCAGGAAGCCTCGTTGTTCTGTAATGTGTAATGGACAATTCAACTACAGAAATATGTATCCATTTAGAATCAAATGATAGAAGTGCTGTGCCATTCTTGATATAGATTAGCATGTCTGTCCAATCATGTCATACGTTACGTTTAATTTTAAACACAAACATTTTAACCTGTATGTTTTCATATCGTGTTTAACATAGCGAAAACAATGTAATCCGAATAGAATAGATTTAATCTATTCTATTCGGGTTACATTGTTTTCGCTAATCTGATTATAAAGTTATATATGAGACGTTGAGAATATCTATACATTTTTCCAGGTTAACATTTGAAATAACCACGAGGTGTTTACCACGATATTACGGTCCCACCTGTACCACGTTATGTGTGGAGCATGCCCACTCACGCTGCACTGCGAACGGAACCAATGTCTGCTTACAGGGTAAGTATCCAAAACACAATATCAAGGTCCCGTTGCACGTATGTGTGTATAGGACGGTATTGCCATTTTAATTTATTTGGTCCTGTCTAACAAGGAAATGACATTGGCATCATTTTATGTCAAAGAACAATTCATCTGCCTACTTTATTCGTCATTGATAGAGAACTATTTATGTAAGCGATGGGAATAATAAATTGATTCGACTATTAGAGATATATCTCGTTTATGTATATGGTTTATATATATTATCTCTTTTGGTGATAATACTAGTTTATTTTTTATACTGCACAAAAGTATTTTAATATACTTTCAGGGTTCACAGGAACGGACTGTAATATAGACATAAACGAGTGCACACACGGCATTTGTAACCATGGGAACTGCACAGACCTCATCAATGGATACATTTGTACCTGTTCAGAGGGCTACACGGGGCAAAACTGTACAACCATCTTAAATGAATGTAGCCCTAATATCTGTCACCATGGCAACTGTACTGACAAAGTAAATGGATTTAGTTGCAGTTGTGATGCAGGATTTACGGGCCCAATCTGTGATACCAACATAGACGACTGTAGCCCTAACCCATGTAACCATGGCATCTGTACTGACAAAGTAAATAGTTTTAGTTGTAGTTGTGAAAAAGGATTTACAGGCACAACCTGTGATACCAACATAGACTACTGTAGCCCTAACCCATGTAACCATGGCAACTGTACTGACAAAGTAAATAGTTTCAGTTGTAGTTGTAAAAAAGGATTTACAGGAAAAACTTGTGATACCAACATAGACGACTGTAGCCCTAATCCCTGTAACCATGGCAACTATTCTGACAAAGTAAATGGTTGCAGTTGTAGTTGTAAAAATGGATTTACAGGAAAAACTTGTGATACCAACATAGACGACTGTAGACCTAATCCCTGTAACCATGGCAACTGTTCTGACAAAGTAAATGGTTTCAGTTGTAGTTGTAAAAAAGGATTTACAGGAAAAACTTGTGATACCAACATAGACGACCGTAGCCCTAATCCCTGTAACCATGGCAACTGTACGGACAAAGTAAATGGTTTTAGTTGCAGTTGTGATGCAGGATTTACGGGCCCGACCTGTGATACCAACATAGACGACTGTAGACCTTATCCCTGTAACCATGGCAACTGTACTGACAAAGTAAATAGGTTCAGTTGTAGTTGTAAAAAAGGATTTACAGGAAAAACTTGTGATACCAACATAGACGACTGAAGCCCTAATACCTGTAACCATGGCAACTATTCTGACAAAGTAAATGGTTGCAGTTGTAGTTGTAAAAATGGATTTACAGGAAAAACTTGTGATACCAACATAGACGACTGTAGCCCTTATCCCTGTAACCATGGCAACTGTACTGACAAAGTAAATAGTTTTAGTTGTAGTTGTGAAAAAGGATTTACAGGCACAACCTGTGATACCAACATAGACTACTGTAGCCCTAACCCATGTAACCATGGCAACTGTACTGACAAAGTAAATAGGTTCAGTTGTAGTTGTAAAAAAGGATTTACAGGAAAAACTTGTGATACAAACATAGACGACTGTAGCCCTAATCCCTGTAACCATGGCAACTGTACTGACAAAGTAAATAGGTTCAGTTGTAGTTGTAAAAAAGGATTTACAGGAAAAACTTGTGATACCAACATAGACGACCGTAGCCCTAATCCCTGTAACCATGGCAACTGTACTGACAAAGTAAATAGTTTTAGTTGTAGTTGTGAAAAAGGATTTACAGGCACAACATGTTATACTTACAGGCACAACCTGTGATACCAACATAGACTACTGTAGCCCTAACCCATGTAACCATGGCAACTGTACTGACAAAGTAAATAGGTTCAGTTGTAGTTGTAAAAAAGGATTTACAGGAAAAACTTGTGATACAAACATAGACGACTGTAGCCCTAATCCCTGTAACCATGGCAACTATTCTGACAAAGTAAATGGTTGCAGTTGTAGTTGTAAAAATGGATTTACAGGAAAAACTTGTGATACCAACATAGACGACTGTAGACCTAATCCCTGTAACCATGGCAACTGTTCTGACAAAGTAAATAGTTTCAGTTGTACTTGTGAAAAAGGATTTACAGGCATAACTTGAGATACCAACATAGACGACTGTAGTCCTAATCCATGTAACCATGGCAACTGTACTGACAAAGTAAATAGTATTATTTGTATTTGTGATGCAGGATTTACAGGCCCGACATGTGATACCAACATAGACGACTGTAGCCCTAATCCATGTAACCATGGCAACTGTACTGACAAAGTAAATGGTTTTAGTTGCAGTTGTGATGCAGGATTTACGGGCCCGACCTGTGATACCAACATAGACGACTGTAGCCCTAATCCCTGTAGCCATGGCAACTGTACTGACAAAGTAAATGGTTTCAGTTGTAGTTATGAAAAAGGATTTACAGGCACAACATGTTATACTTACAGGCACAACCTGTGATACCAACATAGACTACTGTAGCCCTAACCCATGTAACCATGGCAACTGTACTGACAAAGTAAATGGTTTCAGTTGTAGTTGTGAAAAAGGATTTACAGGCACAACATGTTATACCAACATAGACGACTGTAGCCCTAATCCCTGTAACCATGGCAACTGTACTGAGAAAGTAAATGGATTTAGTTGCAGTTGTAAAAAAGGATTTACAGGCACAACATGTGATACAAACATAGACGACTGTAGCCCTAATCCCTGTAACCATGGAAACTGTACTGACAAAGTAAATGGATTTAGTTGCAGTTGTAAAAAAGGATTTACAGGCACAACATGTGATACAAACATAGACGACTGTAGCCCTAATCCCTGTAACCATGGCAACTGTACTGACAAAGTAAATGGTTTTAGTTGCAGTTGTAAAAAAGGATTTACAGGCACAACTTGTGATACCAACATAGACGACTGTAGCCCTTATCCCTGTAACCATGGCAACTGTACTGACAAAGTAAATGGTTTTAGTTGCAGTTGTAAAAAGGGATTTACAGGCACAACATGTGATACCAACATAGACGACTGTAGCCCTAATCCCTGTAACCATGGCAACTGTACTGACAGAGTAAATGGATTTAGTTGCAGTTGTGATGCAGGATTTACGGGCCCAACCTGTGATACCAACATAGACGACTGTAGCCCTAATCCATGTAACCATGGCAACTGTACTGACAAAGTAAATAGTTTTAGTTGTAGTTGTGATGCAGGATTTACAGGCACAACCTGTAATACCAATCTCAACGACTGTAGCCCTAATCCATGTAACCATGGCAACTGTACTGACAAAGTAAATAGTATTATTTGTATTTGTGATGCAGGATTTACAGGCCCAACCTGTGATACCAACATAGACGACTGTAGTTCTAATCCATGCCTTCATGGTGACTGCATAAAAGGAGAAAACGGATTTACTTGTAAATGCGACGAAAGGTTTACTGGCAAAAATTGTGACATTCTTAATTATGACTGTAGTCCAAATTTGTGTAAAAATGGAAACTGTTCTGGGAATGGAAATAAGTCTTATTGTCAATGTAAGGTTGGATTTAAAGGACAATTTTGCGAAAATAATATAGAAGACTGTTATTTCGGTGCCTGTATGAATGGCTATTGCGTAGATCTCGTAAATAATTACCGCTGTGAATGCGATCCTGGATACACTGGCGGGAGATGTGACAAGGATATCAACGAATGTGCGTCGAACCCATGTCACCATGGAAACTGCACTGATGATATTAATAGATTTAGTTGTTCGTGCAAGGTAGGATTCATCGGAAGTCTATGTGAAACCATGGTAAAGGGATGCAGTCCGAACCCTTGTTATCATGGTAAATGTACGCTGGAGTCGGAAGGATTTAAATGTAGTTGTAATGAAGGGTTTATGGGAATGCAGTGTGATATCAGTAATAGTGGCTGTAGCACTAACCCTTGTGAAAATGGTAATTGTACAGACTTTGTAGGAGGATATTCATGTAGCTGTGACCCAGGATATACAGGACAATTCTGTGACCAGAATATAAACGAGTGTCTCCTTGTCGACTGTTATTATGGTGAATGTGTAGACTTCGTAAACGGCTACCAGTGTACCTGTAAACCAGGATACACGGGAAAGAATTGCTCTATATATATCAACGAATGCGAATCAGGGTTGTGTGATAACGGAAACTGCACGGATATCGTTAATGGGTTTGTTTGTGACTGTATTACGGGATATTCAGGACAGTTTTGTGAATATAATATAGAAGACTGCTATTTCGGTGCCTGTGTGAATGGCTATTGCGTAGATCTCATAAATGATTACCTCTGTGAATGCGACCCTGGATACACTGGAGGGAGATGTGACAAGGATATCAACGAATGTGCGTCGAACCCATGTCACCATGGAAACTGTACCGATGATATCAATATGTTCACCTGTACATGTGACTTAGGATTCACTGGGATATCATGTGAAACTGAGATCAAAGAGTGCAAGTCGAACCCCTGTCACCAGGGTGTGTGTGTAAATCACGTGAATGGTTATAGCTGCATATGCGAAACAGGATATACAGGTATACACTGTGCCAGCCCTCTGTTGTTACCTGCCTCTTCTTCAAGCAGTGAACAGCAGCCATCGACTACATGCTCCAGCAGACTGCCATCATCTGTTCACACATCGCATCACCTACATACAAGTTTCTCAATAGAAAGTCATGGAACTGTGTCACAAAGGCTGTCTACTAAATATCTGCCGAGCAAAACTATAGTTCCAATATCCACAGTATCCCAAAGCACCGTGGCAACAGGCATACTGGTGACAGTTTCCTCCTCTAAACAGCTGATGATAACGTCAGATCTCAGTTACACACAACCAGGTAAACATAATAGAATCATAAAATAGGTTGTTATCTGGAAATAATAAAATAACAAAATATCAAAACAAAAACGGCTACAAAAGACAGTAAACAAAATAAACGAAGCGAATCAATGAAAACCTGATTAAATTTATCTGAGAGCACAGATCGTTGGATATATAAATAAACAAATGCGCGTGACAAATTTGCAAGTCTTCAACTATATTTTTTATGAAATTTAATGTTACAATATATTTGTTACTCCATAAATGTTGACGTCAAAGTGCATTGTTAGGGTTTTTTTGCGTCATTTTGTCGGTAAGTTGTATTGTGACGGCATAATGAATCAGAACGTCATCATATTCTGCGTAGTGCTATTATTCTGTTAATGTTACTGTTTTAAAATGTACAAAAAAACAGATCGATTCAATATTCTGTAGCAGTAGTAGTAGTAGTAGTAGGGTTAAGAAAACAGTGGTTTCTTATTTTTATATTCATAATCTTTATCTTTTACCTACTGAAATGCAGGAGATAACGACGTATTTATTATACAGGAAACTATTGATGTGGTTTCATTAAAGGTACCACATTAATTAACATGGTCGTGGTATTTCTCATCTAACGATAACGATTTTATCATATCAGAATGAATCAAGTGATGTTACTGAATAGAATTATGATAGATCGATTTCATGCTACTCCGACTTTCTATTTGATGTTTGTTCGGTGTCACTGATTTAAATTTACTGCGTATTACAGAGTATTCTATTTTTTTAATTGCTTTTTTATCATACCTTCTTTTCAACAAAAGCTACCTCGGTGGTTGGTGTAGCTACCCAGACTGTAATATCAACAAAGACTACAACTAGTGGGTCCCCGGGTCCTCTCCCAATACTACCAACGTCTACTGGTATGTATCACTACTAAAGACACTGTATTTAACTTGTCGTTTGCATTATATAATGTTTTTAATGTCAATGTATGCAAGTCAGATGCTTTTCCCATCATTGTCTTTCTTCAACAACAGCTGTCTCCGTCATTGCTCTACCGACCCGGAGAAGAGCAAGCAAATCGATGAATCTTATTCGAACTTTTACCCACGGTTGTTGGTACGTTATCACTATTAAAGACATGTACTAAAATGTTATTACTAGTAATGAGGTCTACTGGTCAGTCACCACTAGTTATGACGTCAACAGGTAAGTAACCACTAGTAACGACGTCTACTAGTAAGTAACCACTACTTATGACGTAACTGGTTAGTCACCACTAGTCATGACGTCTACCGGTAAGTCACCACTAGTTAAGACGTCTACTGGCTGGTGACCACTTGTTACAATTCATGACGTCTACTGGTAAGTAACCGTTAGTTATGACTTCTACCGGTAAGTCACCACTAGTTAAGACGTCTACTGGCTGGTGACCACTTGTTACAATTCATGACGTCTACTGGTAAGTAACCGTTAGTTCTGACTTCTACCGGTAAGTCACCACTAGTTAAGACGTCTACTGGTTAGTTACCACTAGTTTTGAGGTCTACTGGTGAGTAACCACTAGTTATGACGTCTACTGGTTAGTTACCACTAGTTTTGTGGTCTACTGGTGAGTAACCACTAGTTATGACGTCTACTGGTTAATCACCGCTAGTTATGGCGTCTACTGGTAAGTAACCACTAGTTATGACGTCTACTGGTTAATCACCACTAGTTATGGCGTCTACTGGTTAGTTACCACTAGTTTTGTGGTCTACTGGTGAGTAACCACTAGTTATGACGTCTACTGGTTAGTTACCACTAGTTTTGTGGTCTACTGGTTAATCACCACTAGTTAAGACGTCTACTGGTTAGTTACCACTAGTTAAGACGTCTACTGATTAGTCACCACTAGTTATGACGTCTACTGGTTAATCACCTCTAGTTATGGCGTCTACTGGTAAGTAACCGTTAGTTATGACTTCTACTGGTTAGTTACCACTAGTTAAGACGTCTACTGATTAGTCCCCACTTGTTACAATGTATGACATCTACTGGTGAGTAACCACTAGTTATGACGTCTACTGATTAGTTACCACTAATTATGACGTCTACTGGTTAATCACCACTAGTTATGGCGTCTACTGGTAAGTAACCACTAGTTAAGACGTCTACTGACTGGTCACCACTTGTTACAATGTATGACGTCTACTGGTGAGTAACCACTAGTTATAACGTCTACTGGTTAATCACCACTAGTTATGGCGTCTACTGGTTAGTTACCACTAGTATTGTGGTCTAATGGTTAGTCACCATTAGTTATGACGTCTACTGGTTAGTTACCACTTGTTTTGTGGTCCACTGATCAGTCACCACTAGTTATGACGTTTACTGGTAAGTGTTAACAAAGCGTAGCTGAATTGATTCATTTCGGTACATATATAACAAGTATTGTAAATACGTTTCCAGCATAGCCGAAAACGACATCGATTTTATGGACAACTCGTACACATTTTAAACCCTTGTGTGTATACGCTTCACTGGTCATTTGTCAGGTGACAGTGTACATATCGTATTAGTCATCGATACGTCACATAGAATATTTTATTGGTTGTGTACAAAGAAATTCTCATAATCCATACTTACCAACATGAAGAAAATGTTTAGAAATATTCTCTCCTCTTCTATTCACATTTAAATGAAACCTTAGAATCAAGTGTTAAAGATATTTATAGGGAAAAAGATCGGTTTGTTTAGTATATCATGATACTTTTTCCTCCAGTGAATATATCGTATGCATCTGTCAGTGTCCAGTTGCTAGGTGACATGTCGAGTGAGACTACTGCAGTGAGGGATCACATGATACAACTATTAGGATTGTCAAACGGGTATTCAACGACAGTAAAAGTTTCAACACAACTTATCCAAGAGAAAAATGGGTAAGCTACAAATCTGCACCATCATAGTTCTTACCGATATAACTGAATACCGGAAATGCTGTCTTTAAAAATCAAGTATCTGCGTTAAATAAATGAAAAACTTAATCTACGAAACTATGGCAAAATATCAATATAGAAAAATGTAACATCGAAACCCTTAAAAATGGAGAAGAAAAATTGGTGTTCCGGAATGATGGGCGTTTTCTCCTTTATTGGTGACACCGCAATATAAATTAAAGTTAAATAAGAGAATGTCACTCTCTCAAAGAGAGAACCAATGGGATGACAAAGAAATCACAACAAACACTCATTAGCATAACCAAAAACATGAATATTCATACACAATTATAAACAAACATAAATATTCCGATTGAACTGATAATAGCGGCAATAAACCTGGCCCATAATCTTATGTTGCGATATTGTCAGTCAGTATTCGACATTACGCAAATTGTGATATACTAAGCAAATCCAGGAACATAGGGTCGTCTGTGACATGTGAACACCATAGATTTGTAAACAGGGATGATAATATAAAAATAACGAAAATCACTTAAAAAAGCTTTTTTTAATTCATACTCATATAAGAGACAGAACTAAGTCGAATATATGGTTAAGAAAGGCCGTATGAGTATGTCAACAGTATGTTGGGAAAATTTTGACTTTGAGCTCGAAAAACATTGTCAATCAAGAAATCAACCACATGCTTAAATCTTCCATGTCATTAAGAATGAAAGCGTTCCATCAAGTCGCTTGTTTTTTCAGTAACTTTTATTTAAACGTATCAAAGCTAGATGAGGTAGCTTTGCACTTCTAATGAACATGAAATTAGCATGTTAGGTAATTGAGCAGTCACTGACATGGTCGATTTCGTGAAATAATAATATATTGCCGTCAGTCATTTTGTCGGTGTCTTTTCATTCACGTTTTTAAATTCTCAAATCACATTTGTTACTGACATAAAGCGAACTATTTTTTTTCTTTCTTAATTTACCTTTTTCACTGCACTTAGCATGTTTTGCCTCGTGTGTTGATGTGGTCAAACTTGATTAGACAGAGTTAATCTGTTGACATTACAAAACAGCTCAATGTCTGCCAGGCTGCGGAAGGAATATGTATATTATGGTATCATAGAAGTTTGAAATGAAAAAAAAAATCCAACAAAATAAATATCTGGTGTATTATAAATGATATTTGTTCGATTTTTTTCCCAGAAAAATTGTGACCAACATGACGATTACAGTGACCTCGACGAGTTCCCTAGTGTCTCCGACCACACTGAATACAACTCTCAACAACGCCCTGTCTACATTACAAATACAGACATATAGCAAGACTGGAATCACAAACCAAAACTCTGCTGCTACCAAGGTATTTGTTTATCTCGTTTAAAGAAGTGATCGTAGTGTCGGGTAGTATGCCCTCACAACAGCTAGTCATATAGAGACGGTGTTCGTGTATGATTGGGCCACTATAGAGTAACATTTCACTGGAATGTCTTAACCTGGACAGGGTAGCATGACATCCCACCTAGTAACATTATACTGACAACGGTTTAACCAACTCCTACCGACAACTGTACCAAGCTGAGTGTAAAAGCAGGAAGTCCTAATTTAAAGGAATTTAGATTGACTTGATCAAACAACATGTTTTGGCAAGTCTGACGTTTGTGAGTGGAAGCTACCAAAAAGATAATTAGGAACGAATATCACAAATCCGTATTTTACCAAAGTAAGTCTGAAACATCACAAATCATATTTTAACAAAATAACGGCTATGTTAAAGTAGTGATGACGACTACTACACATTTGATGTTTTACCAAGGTAAGATTGCAAACGATAGCAATGACTACCACAAAGCAAATGTTTTACTGAAAAAAAATGTGAAACATAGGAAACGTCTACCTGAAATCTCTATAGTTTATCAGAAAAACTCAGATACGGTGACGACGTTTGGCTCAAATCTGACACATTGGAATGAGAATCACAAATTCATATTCTCTCGTACACTGTTTCAGGGTTTCGGAATTATTTGACCAAATATAGACACAAGCCAGGTAATCTGTCGTTTGTATAGATACTACAGCGAGATGATGTTTGTTTCAGAGCTGGGCGGGTGACCACACTGCTGTGATAGTGCTAGTAGTGGTCAGTGCAAATATACTCATCATCACTTTGTTTGCCATTGTGATGAAGAGAAGGTACGTACTGTTTAAACAATTTAGTTGTGTTGTCTCTTATTTCATGGATAATACCGAATGGTCTTTAAATATATTAATATATTGTGCGAATTACCTTTTTGTATTTAAATAGTTTATTACTATTTTGTGAAATTGTTCGTGAAGTTGTCGGTCGAATTTAAAACATTCAATAGCTATTAACATTAACGTTGACACTGACAGACAGGGATTTGATACGTAACAATTAGATAAAAACGTCTTTAACTTGGCACTGACTTCTCAGACGTTTCCATTTCTGTCTGTTTATCAACATGAGTTCATTAACGACGATATGTATACATACCAATGACATTAACGACGATATATATACATACCAATGACATTCATATTTTATCATCATTATGTTACCAACATTTAACAAAAACAAGCCTTTACATTTATGTTAATGCTGAGGAAAGGAAAGTTAACATCCGTGGAAGTCCAAGTGTTTGTTGTAGTGTTTTGTTTTTAAATTACCATAATTATTTTCGTTATAATTTTTAAAGGATTATGGCATTTTTAATTTCAATTCCTTCCGACAAATGAAATGAAAAAGTTCTCGAAATGCTTGTTATTCAAAGACAAATTGCTAGTTTAACGGATCAAGTAGCATACTTCTTCATTTCTTTAAGATCCCTGCGTAAATTAGGTACAGTATCATTATATATTTAGATCGATTAAGAATGGAGCACAGTTCAATTACTTAATCAAGAACATGGGCAGTCTGTTTGAATAGTAATCCATCAAATTCAAACATTATATTGTCGACTAAAATATTTGTCACGCCGAAGTATAGTTTTCTGGATTGTAGTTGTTTATGTTCATGTTTGATAAACCTCACACACAATGAGTGTATAAACTTCACACACAATGAGTTTATAAACCTCACACACAATGAGTTTACAAACCTAACACACAATGAGGTTATAAACCTCGCACACAATGAGTTTATAAACCTCAAACACAAAGAGTTTATAAACCTCAAACACAAAGAGTTTATAAACCTCAAACACAATGAGTTTATAAACCTCACATACAATGAGTTTATAAATCTCACACACAATGAGCTTATAAACTAAACACACAATGAGTTTATAAACCTCACACACAGTGAGTTTATAAACATCAAACAAAATGAGTTTATAAACTTAACACACAATGAGTTTATAAATCTCACACACAATGTGTTTATGAACCACACACACAATGAGTTTATAGAGTTTATAAACCATACACAATGAGTTCATAAATCTTACACACAATGAGTTTATAAACCACACATAATGAGTTTATAAACCTCACACACAATGAGTTTATAAACCTCACACACAATGAGTTTATAAACCTCACACACAATGGGTTTATATACCTCACACACAATGAGTTTATAAACCTAACACACACACAGTTTATAAACCACACACACAATGAGTTTATATATTTCACACACAATGAGATTATAAACCTCACACACAATGAGTTTATAAACCTAACACACACAGAATTTAGTTTATAAACCACACACACAATGAGTTTATAAACCTCACACGCAATGAGTTTATAAACCTCACACACAATGAGTTTATAAACCTCACACACAATGAATGTATAAACCTCACACACTAAGAGTTTATAAACCTCACATACAATGAGTTTATAAACCTCACATGCAATGAGTTTATAAACCTCACATACAATGAGTTTATAAACCTCACACACAATGAGTTTATAAACCACACCTTTTTGATGAATCATCAGATGCTTTATTACCTTTACCGATTTTATTTTTTTGTCTTGGTTAAATTTCAAAATATTACGAAAAGAGGACATTTCATTTTTCTTTTGTAGAAAAATACTTCGAAATAATAAAACCTCGTATTTAGATGAAGGTTTGTCCGAGTTTGTCGGTGTGCACCTTGAACCTGTTGCTAAATACGACCAGGAAAACGACCAGGCGGTGTTCAATAATCTCCGTTATAATGATGACAAAGGCAGATCTGCCAGTGAACGGATGTAGTCAGAAGGACTAATGCTTCAACGCAAGATTCAGACTCGGAACAGGAATTGTACGTAGTAACATGCATTAACTATATATTGTTTGGAACAATATTTTGTTCAGCTTATTTGTACACTAATTGTAATGTAAGTGTGTACCCGACATGTGCAGTTAATATTGACATGGATTGTACTGTGAGTAGACCAAATGTTTAGCTCATGTGCTTGCAAATTATTCAATGTGTAAATAGATTGTATAGTTAGTGGATCCGCGGCGGCCAAATGGTTTAAAAAGGCTTCTGACATACTGCTACCACTAGCCCTCCACCACTGGGTCGCGGGTTCGAGACCTACGCTGGGCAGTCGTCAGGTACTGACCGTAAGTCGGTGGTTTTTCTCCGGGTACTCTGGCTTTCCTCCACTACCGAAACCCGGCACGTCCTTAAATAAGCATAGCTGTTATTTAAATGAAGTGTATTATACGTGAATTCTGTACTTCAGTGGTTGAATTAAACGAAGTATATTCTACATGAATTCCGTTCTACTATGGTTAAATTAAATGAAGTATATTCTTTATGTATTCCGTACTTCTGTGGTTGAATAAAATGAAGTGTATTCTACGTGAATTCTGTGTTTCTTTGGTTGAATTAAATGAAGTTATTCTAATTGTATTCCATACTTCTATGGCTGAATTAAATGAAGTGTAATCTACACGAATTCAGCACTGCTTTGGTCGAATAAATGAAGTATATTCTAAATGAATTCCGTACTTCTGTGGTTTAATTAGATGAAGTATATTATATAGGTATTCCATACTATTATGGTTGAATTAAATAAAGTGTATTAAACATGAATTCCGTACTTCTCTGGTTTAATTAAATGAAGTGTATTCTACATGAGTTCCGTACTTATGTGGTTAAATTAAATTAAGTGTATTCTACATGAATTCCGTACTTCTATGGTTGAATTAAATTAACTGTATTCTATGCTATATTTAATGAAGTGTATTCTACATGTTTTCGAACTACTATGGTTGAATTTAATGAAGTATGTATTATATCTACATGTATTCCATAATTTTATGGTTGTTTATAGAGTGTATGTTTGTTGTATTCCGTACATCTATGGTTGTTTATAGAGTGTATCTTACGTGTATTCCGTACTTATAAGGTTGTTTATACAGTGTATGTTAGTTGTATTCCGCACTTTTATGGTTATTTACATTGTGTATCTCACGTGTATTCCGTACATCTATGGTTGTTTATAGAGTGTATCTTACGTGTATTCCGTACTTATAAGGTTGTTTATACAGTGTATGTTAGTTGTATTCCGCACTTTTATGGTTATTTACATTGTGTATCTCACGTGTATTCCGTACATCTATGGTTGTTTATAGAGTGTATCTTACGTGTATTCCGTACTTATAAGGTTGTTTATACAGTGTATGTTAGTTGTATTCCGCACTTTTATGGTTATTTACATTGTGTATCTCACGTGTATTCCGTACATCTATGGTTGTTTATAGAGTGTATCTTACGTGTATTCCGTACTTATAAGGTTGTTTATACAGTGTATGTTAGTTGTATTCCGCACTTTTATGATTGTTTATAGAGTGTATTTTACGTGTATTCCGTACTTCTATGGTTGTTTATAGAGTGTATCTTACATGTATTCCGTACTTCTAAGGTTGTTTATAGAGTGTATATTACATGTATTCCGTACTTCTAAGGTTGTTTATAGTGTATCTTACGTGTATTCCGTACTTCTATGGTTGTTTATAGAGTCTATGTTAGTTGTATTCCGTACTTCTAAGGGTGTTTATAGAGTGTATATTACATGTATTCCGTACTTCTAAGGTTGTTTATAAAGTGTATGTAAGTTGTATTCCGTACATCTATGGTTGTTTGTAGAGTTATCTTACGTGTATTCCGTACTTATAATGTTGTTTATAGAGTGTATGTTTGTTGTATTCCGTACATCTATGGTTGTTTATAGAGTGTATCTTACGTGTATTCCGTCCTTCTCTGATTGTTTATAGAGTGTATCTTACGTGTATTCCGTCCTTCTCTGGTTGTTTATAGAGTGTATCTTACGTGTATTCCGTACTTCTAAGGTTGTTTATAGAGTTTATCTTACGTGTATTCCGTACTTCTAAGGTTGTTTATAGAGTTTATCTTACGTGTATTCCGTACTTCTAAGGTTGTTTATAGAGTTTATCTTACGTGTATTCCGTACTTCTAAGGTTGTTTATAGAGTTTATCTTACGTGTATTCCGTACTTCTAAGGTTGTTTATAGAGTGTATCTTTCGTGTATTCCGTACTTCTATGGTTGTTTATAGACTGTATCTTACATGTATTCCGTACTTCTAAGGTTGTTTCTGGAGTGTATCTTACATGTATTCCGTACTTCTAAGGTTGTTTCTGGAGTGTATCTTACATGTATTCCGTACTTCTAAGGTTGTTTATATTGTATCTTACGTGTATTCCGTACTTCTATGGTTGTTTATAGACTGTATCTTACATGTATTCCGTACTTCTAAGGTTGTTTCTGGAGTGTATCTTACATGTATTCCGTACTTCTAAGTTTGTTTATAGAGTGTATATTACATGTATTCCGTACTTCTAAGGTTGTTTATAAAGTGTATGTAAGTTGTATTCCGTACATCTATGGTTGTTTGTAGAGTTATCTTACGTGTATTCCGTACTTCTAAGGGTGTTTATAGAGTGTATATTACATGTATTCCGTACTTCTAAGGTTGTTTATAAAGTGTATGTAAGTTGTATTCCGTACATTTATGGTTGTTTGTAGAGTTATCTTACGTGTATTCCGTACTTATAATGTTGTTTATAGAGTGTATGTTTGTTGTATTCCGTACATCTATGGTTGTTTATAGAGTGTATCTTACATGTATTCCGTACTTCTATGGTTGTTTATAGAGTGTATGTTAGTTGTATTCCGTACTTCTAAGGTTGTTTATAGAGTGTATGTTACGTGTATTCCGTACTTCTATGGTTGTTTATAGAGTCTATGTTAGTTGTATTCCGTACTTCTAAGGTTGTTTATAGAGTGTATGTTAGTTGTATTCCGTACATCTATGGTTGTTTGTAGAGTCTATGTTAGTTGTATTCCGTACTTATAAGGTCGTTTATAGAGTGTATATAAGTTGTATCCCGTACTTTCATGGTTGTTTATAGAGTGTATCTT